GACAGACTGTCTCCAGACTGCAGGGTGAGGACTTCTGATCGAGCTGAAATTCAAGGAAAGGAGCAGAGTGAAAGAATGATGCAGACAGCAATTCATCAGCTGTAAAGACTGCACTCACTCAGAGGAGACAGTATTGATCACATTTAAGTCTTGAGATTGAAGATAGTTTCAGAACAGCAACAATTACTTTGAGTTTTAAGTTCAAATATATTCAAGGACCTTAATGTAAAATCCTTCAATGTCAGGTAATCAATACCTAATCCAATACCTCCTATTGACCCCACACATCAGGGAGTGACACTGGTGAAAGAGTCACACTGTGCACGTTCCCCACTGGAGCCCCACTCTCACCTCCCACAGTGACGTGGACAGTGCTGATGGGGGTCCCCTGGGAGTCCTGCACTGTGTAAGTGCCCCCGTCTTCAGCTCTCACACTGGAGATCTTCAGCACCTGGTCTTGAACCTTCAGCCTGCTGGAGTCTGGGGTCACAGTGCTGTCGAGCACAGAGCACAGCCTGCGAGACTCTCCCCCCTCAGGCCTGAACCACAGCTCTACAGCCTGCTGTGTGCGCAGAGGGACACTGAGGGGGTCTCCCCAGGAGAGACCGATGTTGTCCTCGTGTCCTACAGGAAGACGTGACAAGTGATCAGTCAGTCACATGGTTGTGTCCCAGAATTCCCCCTCAGTCATGGCCAGAATCAGGTGAAAATATCAGCCATGATCTTGGGACGAAGAAGAAGGAGTTTGGAAGAAAAAAATGCAAACAGATGCTGTTGCACCCTAGAGAACAAAGAGGACTAACAACCGTATGTCCAGTTAGTTGTCAGGAGTCATGGATCACTGTCCTGTACACAACCGAGTGTTCAGATCGCAACAAAGAAAAAGATTACCTTGAACTGTGAGCTTCACATCTCCGAGGAATTTTCTCTTGCTCTTGTCATCCACAAATCGACACTCGTAGATATCTTGATCCGAGAACGTCACGTTACGAAGGATCAGGGAGAAATTTCCATCTCTCATCCTCTCTCTGGACAGCTCAGCTCTGTTCTCGCACCCTGGGTAAGTGAGGATATGTCCTCTGTAGAACTCCAGCACACGGCGGTCAGCTGTCTGCCACAGTACAATCTTCATCTCCTCAGGAGTGTGTCTGTAGGAGCTCCCATCACAGGGCAGAGTGACTGTGTCCCCATATAGCCCAGACACAGGGAGGAGAGCAGAGCACACTGGGAGACAGAGGACAGAGACAGAGAGACACTTCAGCTTCCTTAAAACACACAACAGTGAGACACAGCTCTCTGGAGGTGACTGTACCTGCTTGTGGACAGCATTTCTTCACAGGCGAGCGAACAACAACTCTGATCTCTTACCTTGAGAGCAAAACACCATCAGGACAACACCCAGGACCGTCATGATGAGGGACCTGCAGTAAGATTGCAATATGAGTGAGGCAATTCAAGCTGAAAAGAAACCCAGTGTCCACTGTGGTTTAAATAACCAGTTAGGAAAAATACAAAGTAAGAAGGTTCTTTGTAAGATGATGAAAAGACACCAGGATCCAGCTACAAGGAGCACAGTAACTTGAACACATACAATGTAAAATGTTCTTTCACACTAGAACAGCAAGATAAACATGCACACATTTTCACTTACAGTGCCTTGCACAAGTATCCAAACCCTTTAAAAGTTTACTAATGTTGCTGGATTACAAAATACATCTTTTTCCAGTCAGTGTTTGGACTGCAAACAGTCTGCATTTAAAGATAAAACCAGTTATCAGCTGACAAATATCATAAAGTCAAAACCTGAAATACAGCGCTTGCAGGAGTATTCAGGCCCCACTCATTAATATTCGGTGGACCGACCTTTTACCACAACAACAGCTTTAAGTCCTTTAGGGTACAGTAGGTGTCTGCCAGTTTACCACACTGGTTCGGAGTGAGCTCCGGCAGTATGACCGTAATGACCACAATACGAGCTCTCACAATCTGGAGTACTACGAAATCAGACAAACACCTCGGGGGGTTTGCAGAGATGTGTGCAGGCTGGTAGAGAGGCGCTATTCTACTGGAGAGTCCAGGTCCATTCTCAAGGGCCCCAGTCATCCCAGTCGCAAACTGGTTTCCCTCCTACCGGCCGGTAAAAGGTACCAGAGCATCCGACCCAAGTCCGACAGACTACAGAACAGCTCCCACCTCCAGGCAGTCAGACTGCTGAACAGCCGGCCTGCGGCTCCTTCAGCTCATCCCCCGCCCTGGATACACGGACACAGCTGTCACTGTATTGGGCACAACTGGACCACTGGGACACTGGGACTGCACACACCCTGGACACATCGCAGCTGGACTCATATCGAGTTTTATTCCATTTCTATTACACCTATCATCATGTAACCTTATTTTCGTAACCTCAATTGTGTGATTTTTGTGTTTTTGCGATTCTTGTGAGCTCGCAGAAAAGACACTTCATTGCCAGCAGCTACTGCTGCACGCTGTCTTGTGGTGCGTTTGAGAGAGAAACTTTGATTTGCTTTGATTCATTCCCCTCCCTCTGGTTGGTTACTCGTGTAAAACGCTGGGAATCTCCTTCGCTGAAGATCCGCACCCTGACAGACCTCGACCCGGCTTCCTGAGCCCAGAGACCGGCCGGGTACTGGAGTACTGGAGTCAGACACTGTGGCTACGTCATACAACACAGCTGCTGCTGTAACTATAACAACCTCAAGGGGAGGAGCCAGCTGGGAACATTGACTACCCCCCTCCCTAGACTAGCCAATCACAATGCGGAACAGGAGGCGAGCACCAATCAGCTTTCAGGCTTAAGAAAAGGGGAGGGGCGCTGGGTACAATAGGAGCGGTTTGCATGTCACTGTACAGAGGACACTGCGCTACCGACTGAGTTCGCTCCGGTTTCAAGCCCGTGTGCTTTTTTTTTATTTGATTCTTTAATTTAACGATGGCTCTTACATAGTTTGCAACTGTTTTTTTTAAAATATATGGACTTAATGGCGATGCTCGTCTCTCCCTCTGAAAACAAAAGTGTATTTTCAGGAAGGGCGGGCGGGGAGGGGGGCCGTGTGGCTCATCTGTCAAGATATTCCTGCTTTACCTGCATGTAAAGTACTTTTACCCCTTTGGGTTTCTTCAGTATGATTCTTTTTTTTATATAAAAGAAGACGAGGCAGGAAGCCAACGGCTGTGGTTTCGAGTTCAGTCGGCATGACGTGGTGGGGTCCTGGAGCGCTCATTGGCTGAGCGGCGGAGGGGGCGGTAGTTATCGGTCTTGTTTCGAGCTCAGTCGGCATGACGTGGTGGGGTCCTGGAGCGCTCATTGGCTGAGCGGCGGAGGGGGCGGTTGTTATTGTTCTTGTTCGAGCTCAGTCGGTCGCCATGACGGCCGCCGCCCCGCCGCCACCTTGTCAAAGGGAAGGTTTACGCCTGTGCCGAATTCGCCATGTCAAAACTAAAGTTTTTATTTAAACACCCCAAAAAAAATTCACAATTGTGAAAACTAAAAGCTATACTTTTACATATTTCCCACTGTATTTCTCGCCTTTTGAGTCTTTAAATTTCTAATAGAATTTAAATAAAAAAGGAAGTCAACTTTAAAAGCATGAATAGAGGGAGCAGTATTAGACCATTTAGATTTGTGGGTAAAATATTAAGCCAAAATATTCAACAGATTAATAAAAACATCCTTTATCCAAATCAGATCTAACAAAATATAAAATGATAATCTTTCAGTTTAACGTTTAACTAAGTGCGGAGCATTC